AAACACACAACTAGAAAAAAAGACGTAAAAAGTCCTGCCTGTTTCACATGTTCCCAGTCCCTCTCAGATTTGAGAGCCTGGTTCCATAAGGTCAGTGTTACCCACGGCAGACCTGGCAAATCTCACACACAGAGCACAAATAACTGTGCCAGGCTGGAGACCCTGCTGCAGCTCACACTGAGCGTCACCCCTTCCTGGGGCACAGCACTAGGAGCTCTCTCCCTCCCTGAAACCTCCTGCAAGTCGGGTGAGGAACCCCTGGAACCTGGGGTCAGAGTGCCAAAAACAAGCCCCGGTGCTGTGCTGCAGGACAGGGCTGTGCCACCAGGGAAGCCACTCCTGCTCCAAGGGCCTTTCCCAAGCAGCAGCAGCCCCAGCTGCGTGTCAGGAACAGGCCCCAGGGACGTGTTCACCCAGCTCGGAACCACTGTGGCACCATCGCAAACGTCAGAGAACAGAACAATCAAAGGGTCTAACACAGGGGCAAGAATTCAAAGCACAGCTTCAGAAGGTCAAACAGACCCATCACAGAAGAGAAAATCTATCAGAGCAAACAGCTAAATAGCAGCAGGCCAGAGATGCAAATTCTGCCATGGCAGACTGAGGACAGAGGAGGCAGACAGTGAAGGTGGCTGCACTGGTTGTACCTCCTTTGGGGAGACTGTTACCGGGGCCTTCGCACTGGGCAAGACTCAGTGGGGAGCAGCCACCTCTGACACTGCCTCACACACTTCCACGGCCCAGGGAACAGCCCCACAGCCCAGGGATTCTGATCCCCAGCAGCACAAAGCCTCTGAGAGAGATACGACCAAAAGAGAGTTCCCGTGATGATCTACTGCCACTCCACTAGTCTCATGTTTTTCCATTAATTTTCCTTATCCACAAAAATACATTGGCTCACGGCATTTAGCAAAGTCATAACCTTCTAGTTACAAGAGCTTGAACTTGCCAACAATTATTTAGTGAGTGTAATGGACGAGGTCAGGACGTAGATACATAGGACAGAGATTTTACTAGTCCTTACAAAATCATTCCTTCTCCAGCCAGCCCTGGATGAAAGGACATAAAAAGTAGAGGTTTGGCCATGCAGTGAACCTGTAGCTTCAAAGTAATTTTACTTAGAAATTTCTTACATGGTTTTGAACATCTACCATTTATAAATGACTACAAATTAAAGTCATCACACAATATTTGAGTGGAAGCAGATAACCCACATTCTCTCCTGCCCCCAAAACACGTCGTTTTGGAATTTTTGAAAATAACAATAATAACATACTAAACACTTGGATGATACAGATCCACCAATCTGGGATAGAACTGCATTCTTCTTCCCCTGCTGCTTACTTAGGGAAGGTGTTAGCATTGCTTTGCCAGAACACAAAGACAGCAACACAGCTCAGCACTTCAAACACCAGCAGCCAACACAACAGAAATCACCCTGCTTTGTCCCTGGTATTAATGCTCAGTGCAAAACAGGGTACTGGGTTCTGGAATATGTTTTCTTTATTCTGCAGAAGGCACACAGAGGAGTTCTGTGACGGGCCACTCTCCCTCCTGATTTCAAAGTGAGAAGCCATGGCTTTACAGGGGTCTGCACAGACATGGCTCTGAGCAACCTCATTCCTAGACAGCTCCAATCCTCCCACATTTATGGCTGTGCCCACTTTATCATTCTGTCTTATTGTCTGGGTGGCTGTTGATTTTTTTCACATTACGTGTGTCCGTGGGTCTCTCCACAACTCACACTGTGTGAGTTAAAATCCTTGATGCATCTTGTTTGCAGCTCTACTTCTCCCACCTCCTAACACCGACTAGGACTTTTTTTCTCTCAAATAGTCTCACCACTTCTCATGGCAAAACTGGCACTGTGGACTGCCAACTGATACCTGACAGTTTATTCATGTGCAGAGCATCATGCAATTCCTCAATGTGAGTTAAGAAACAATTCTCCTGTTTCTAGATGTCCAGAATTTCCTTTCTTGATATACAAACTCAAACCCTGATGATAGAAACCTGCTCTTCAAGGAGAGGCAAGCAGAAATTTCCCATCCACTGAACAGGTTGTGCTGTGCTTCTGGGTAAGCATTACAATATCGTTTTCTCATCACACCTACTCTCCTAAATATACAAAACACTGTGCAAGTGATAGTTTTGTCAGCCACCAGCTAATCAAATGAAAAATTATTAGGCTTAGGAAAATAATAAAAGCAGAAGCCAGCTGTGCTTGGTTGGATGAAAACCCCAGTGTCTCCCATGTTAGCTCATGTGTGTTTCAATTTCTGGGAAGAAAATAATGGGAGTTTCTCCACCCTTTCTCATGTGAGCCATAAAACAGATTTATTACCTAGGATATATTCTGTGTTTTCTCCTGAGGAAAAAAGAAAGTGGTGGAACAAGTTCATTTTTTTCCCTTCTACAACAAGGATTTTCTTTATAATAAACACAGAGCTTAATTTTGGTATCATATGGCCCTTCTATTTAATGCTCTGGTCACACTTTTTGCCTTTCTAAATCTTGAATTGTTGCATTTTCATTTCAGTGGGGAATCTACAGCTGCTCCAGCTGTTTGAGTGCAAAAAGTCTGTCCTAAGATTCCTATCTGGTATGTTTTAAAGCAAAATCCTTCTCTCCCCTAAATCAAATAAATTTAGCATCTACTGAAAAAACTGTAGAATAACTAAAACAAAAAGAAAAACTAAACATAAGTCTATGTTTCTTTTCAAATAGTTCTAGCTCAGCTTTACCTTACACCTAGCAGCTCTGGGAAACCCAGGCTGCAGATTCAGAGGTTTAGGACAGGGTTGCACCTCATCTGGGACTGTTTTCCTGTACAAATAACTATTTTTTGACTGTAACAGTCACCTTCTGACCTTTAAAAATAAATCATGAAAGAGAAAATTTGCTGACTAGAAGATTTTTAGTCCTATGATTCTAATTTGCTCACAATATGATGTTACAGTTCTGAAGACCTGCGCTGGTAAATCCATTTACAAAAAAGGTGATTTCCCCTATAACTTTCACTTTTGAGGTGCAGAAGACACTGATTCATTAAACACTTCTGCATCATGACACAGCCTGGGTTCCCCAGTTGAGTGGTCTGGAAACTTTCAAGGCTAAGATATGGTTTTTTGTAAATGACACCAGTAACACCTCTTCTTTAAGTCAATCTGTTGACTCCAATATCTGTAGCCTGAACAAGCTCCACACTCTACCCTTGCTCTCTCACACCTCTTGTTGATGAGTCACTTCCCTGCAAAGCTGACATCTCCCAAAGCTTCGGTTCTTTCAAACCAGCCCGTGATATATGAGCGTTTACCCCGAGCCATAAATGCCACTGAGACAATCTCTGCAATGACGAGCTACGCCATCATTAGCTGCATAGAATTAAAATGTACCACAGGAAGTGTCTTCATTGCAGTTGGGAAATTATTTTTATTGCTTATGAACAGAAAAAAAAAATGCACTTTTAATCATAAACTGTGCCAGCACAGAGCTCAAAAGGAAGCTGGCTTGCTTGGGCAAAAATTGTGCAGGTTTTTTTTGTAGATTTGTTTCTTTCTCATCATTTTGTGATCACTTGCACTGCTCCACGGAGACCAGTAATTTGGAAAATAAAACCCCAGTAGCTGAAGTCGTTTTCAAGCCATTCCTAATTTGAAACCCCTCATTTGTACTACCAAGTATATTCTAGTGCAGTCAAAGTGCATTCCTACCAAGAGAGTATAAATCCATCCACACAGATATTTTGGGGACCAAAACCCTGTCAGTGCCATGAAACTTGCCTCTGTCCTTTATAAAGACACACACTCGAACATGTAATAGTGTGCTGAGATTCTGAGTTTGGACAAAACTAAAGTATCAGCATTACAACTCAAAGGAGGAGTCCAAAAAGACAAGATCAGCCTTTTTTTTTAAATCATTACTAAGTTTGTCTTCACAGCCTCAGAAATCTCACTACCACACATCCATAGTCCAACACAGCTGCAACAAAGCAATTTATTACAGAGGAGCAACAACAGTAGCTATTTTCCCCAATGAAGACAGTGTTTCATAGAATATAATTTTGAAAAGTCAGAATCTTCAGTGTTAAGTCTCCTGTATGAGCTAATTAGCACTGACTGGTTGACAGTTATTACTGGTCCAGTGAAACAGGACATTGTTATTGCAGAGAAATAGAACTCAAATTAAAAATAAAATGTATACAAACACAAAGCATAACACAGCCCCATGTACTGCATGACACAGGGCCAAAAAAAGGTGTTTCTTTACAATGTAAGAACACAGATGGGTCAGTAGTTCAGCATTTCTTTGCAAAAAGAAACCCACAGTATTGCAAAATGGTCAACAGGGTCAGAAAAGGTGTAACATAGTTGGGCAACAGGTCTGCTCCCCAACACCTTACAATTCCAACACTGTCATTCTAATGCTTAAAAATAAGTCTCCACACCAATTAACCAAAATCAGACAATCTATCTGACATTAGAACCTGGCATCTCTTCCAGTGCATGCACCAACATAATTTCCATCTGCACAATCTTTATAACTGATAATGACATACCCAAGCCAGAACAAACAGAGTTAGATTTCCTGATTGCAGGATATTTTTGAAACAAGAAAAAACTAGTTTACCTGTAAAAGCAATAAAAATGTTAATAGAAATCATTAAAAAACAAGAAGTTACTCTGGTATGGTTTTTTAAAATGTAATTTAGTTAAAAATAAAATTTTAAAAAATCTTTGTACGCCCTGTCCTTCATGCAGACAAGACAAATTATTAATGAAAGGCTTCCCAGTCATGGAGCCCTCTCTAAAAGCCTCACAGAAACGCTACTAAACCTGGGGGTTAATGGAAGGAGCTTCAGAAGAATGACGGGTCACAAAGAGAGTGTGCTAAAAAGTGTGGAGAAATGCTCCTCAAAACAATTCCCAGAGAAGTCACACACAGATTTCCACCTTGTGTCACCTGTTTTTTCCAGAGCACACCCCATGCCTGCTTTTTACCTTGTTCATTTCAAAACGAAGCTGCTGAATCTGAAAATGGATTCTTTCCTACTCTGAGGTGGCATTTAAAGGAGCTGTACGAGGCACGTCCTCACTTTCACACAAACCCGGGGAGGACAAGCACGGCAGCGCGGTGAGGGCCCTGCCCGGGCCGGCCCCACCTGTGCCGCCAGGGGGCGACAGCGCGCGAGCCGCCCTCACCTGGGCACACCTGGGCAGAGCCCGCCCGGGGCCAGGAGGGCTCTGAGGGGCCAGGAGGGGCTCTGAGGGGCTCTGAGGGGCCATGAGGGGCTCTGAGGGCTCTGCGGGGCCATGAGGGGCTCT